TGCGATGCCCTCACCTCTCGGGGATGGACAGACCCCCCTTTAGTCAAACGTGGTTTAGTGAAAACGACCTGAGGCCCAAACCTGGCAGGCGCAAGCCTGGAAAATAACGGCCACGGAGCCCTCTCGAGAACCGAAAACGGACAATTCACTAATCGACGTGTCACTGTTGGGGGTTCTGTCCAGCCCCGAACCTCCGCAGTGCCTCCCGGGAGCCCACGAAAGCGACGCCGGCTGCGCAGATCGCACCCCCCCCGAGGGAGCCGCGAGGCCTCGGAGCGGCCTGCGCAGGCCTGCACTCCGCCGTGCCGCCCACGAGCACACGAGAAACCGGCGACGGCTGCGCAGGTCGCAGCCCCCGAAGGAACACCGAAGTCTCAAACGGATCTGCGCTGCCCTCCCCTCCGCCGTGCCTCCCAAAAATAAAGGGAAATTAGGACACACAAATAAATACACACAAATAAAAATAGTCCCCATATTTTCCAATATTTTCTGGGTTTTTGTCTTCCCCACCACTTCCCATATTTTCGCATATTTTCCTGGGAATCGACGATTAATTGTGTCTGTGTGTTTCTTCCCCTCCTGACCTCCGCCGTGCCTCCCAAAAAACACACGAAATCGGCAACGGCTGCGCAGGTCGCAACCCCGACGGAGCCGCGGGCCCTCAGAGCGCTCTGCGCTGCCGTTCTACCCGCTGCAGCTCCCAAGAGCCCTCGAAAATGCTGACATTTGCGCCAATTCGCACAGCCAGAGGGAGCCGCGAGGTCTCAAAAGGATCCCAGGTGCCCTCAACCTCGCCGCACCTCCCGAGAACCCACGGAACCGACAGCGGCTGCGCAGTTCACAGCCCGACGGAGCCGAGAGGTCACGAAACGATCCGCAACGCCCTCACACCCGCCGTGCTCCCAGGAGCCTGCGATAGCGACGACAGTGGCGCACTCCCTGTGGGAGCCGCGAGCTTTCGAGCGGATTTGCGCTGCCCTCACCTCCGCCGCGCCTCCCAGGAGCCCACGGAACTGGCGCCGGCTGCACACTTCGCAGCCCCCGAAGGGGCCGCGAGTCTTCGGATGGACCTGCGCTGCCGCCCCCTTCGCCGCGCCTCCCAGGAACCCATGGAAAAAAAGCTACGGTCGAGAAGTTCGCAGCCGGAGCCGCGAGGTCTCGGAGTGATCCGCGCTGTCCTCACCCCCGCCGCGCCTCCCAGGAGCGCACGGAACTGAGGACGCTCGCGCAGTTCGCCGCCCCCGACGGAGCACCGAGTCCTCGAGTGGCTCTGCGCCGCCCCCACGTCCGCCGTGCCTCCCAGGAGCCAGCGAACATGGCGGCAGCTGCGCAACTCGCAGCCCCCAAGGGCACCGCCAGGTGTGAAGGCCCAATCAAGCGGCCGGCGGGCTGAACCCCGCCCCTTCGCCACAACACGGTGCGTCGGGCAGGTGTCGCCAGTGCGTCCCGAAAAGGCCGGCGGCCGTCCTCACGAACATGCGCGTCGCCCTCGCAAGGGGGATCCTTTGGCGAGTACGTGGCCAGTCTGGCGTGTACCCAAGGGACAGATCGCCCATGCGCAGGAAGGAGGGCGACGACGAGGGGACAGGGAAGAGCGGGCGGGCCAGAAAGCCGCCAAAGAGCCGCGGCTGCACGCGCGCGGGTGGCCCGAAGGGCCCCCTCTCCAGTGTCGCCGGGCGCTGCTTAATGTTAGGTCAGGCATGTCCCCCTACAGGGGGATCCGGACGAATAATTGCAAATATCCGACAAAAAAAATAAAAGTATTGAAACAAATGCTCAAACAATTGTCCTAAGACTATTATTGGACTATTTTTGAATATTCCCCTGTAGAGGGACAGGCCCGACTTAAGCTCAATGGCGGCGGGAGAAACGCAAACCCTGCGTGCCCATGTCGTGCCCGTCTTTGGACCCTTTGGGGCAAAGGCGCACCTTTCTTCACCCCCCAGTCGCGCAACGCCCGATGCGGGCAATTGACCACCCTCGCGCTCCTCACCCTTCGGGTACCCTCGCCGCGCCGCACTTCCGTGCAACGAGGGGAAAGGGTTAGCGCGGGGGGGCAGCATCCCCCAAATAGAAAGCCGGTGTCGCCTGATTTGGTGCCGGCGCGCTGCAACTCCTCACGGAAGCGAAGCCCGTCGCCGCTCCGCGCGCCGTCAACCATGTTTGCGTTTCCTCGGCTCTCTGCGCGGTCTGCTGGAGGCGGCCCCGTGAGGAGGAGGAGGCGGAGGAGCAGGAGGAGGAGGAGGAGGAGGAGGAGGAGGAGGCGGAGGAGGAGGAGGCAGCAGAGGAGGCGCAGAAGGACGAGGAGGAGGAGCAGGAAGAGGAGGAGGAGGAGGAGGAGGAGGAGGAGGAGGAGGGGGAGGAGAAAGAGGAGGAGAGGGCTCCTCTCTTGGAGGCCCCCACGGGGCCGCCGGGGCCTCGTCCAAGGGCGCGGGCTCTCGGGGGTCTCCCCCAGGAGGGAAGGCACGGAGAGCGGCGCGGACACACTCCCGGGGATCCGCGCGGAGATCTTGGATCGGCGCTCGGCCCCCCCGCCCTGGCGCGCGGAGATCGCCGGGGGCGGCGCCAGAGGCGCCGCCAGTCGCGCCGCCAGTCGGGGGGGGTCCCGCGCCGAATCGGCGGGAGGTCCGCGCGGAGCGCCAACAGGTTCAGCCTGCGCCGCTTCGACGACGGCGTCGACGAGGATGGGGACGGGGACGGGGGCGAGGACGAGGACGAGGGCGAGGAGGAGGAGGAAGGAGGACGTCGACGAGGGCACCAACGGCGACGAGGGCGAGGGCGAGGGCGAGGGCGAGGGCGAGGGCGAGGGCAATCAGGGGTGGACAGACCCCCCTTTAGTAAAACGTGGTTTAGTGAAAACGACCTGAGGCCCAAACCTGGCGGGCGCAAGCCTGGAAAATAACGGCCATGGCGCCATCTCGAGAACCGAAAACGGACAATTCACTTATCGACGTGTCACTGTTGGGGGTTCTGTCCACCCCCGAGGCAATAGCGACGACGACGAGGGCGACGACGACGGCGACGGCGACGACGACGACGATCACGACCACGACCACAACCACGATGACACCGACGACGACGAAGACGCCATGGGGCCACGTCTTCTTTTCTTGGAGCCGCTGGCCAGGAGCCGTCCTGGCAGCCCCCAGCCCACGGCGGGCGGTGGGCCTCTCCTCCGGGGGGGTGGGGGGGTCGGGGCGAAAGGGGGGGATAGCAAAGGGGGGGGTTGAGAATCAGCTCACGTAGCTGATTTTCCCGGCGCCTCCCGGCGCCGGAGGCGGCCATGTATCGAGGAATGGGCCCCTCGGTGAGGCCGAAATCAGCTGCATGCAGCAAACTTCGTAACCCCCCCTTTCCCAATCCCCCCCTTTCGCCCGACCCGAGGGTGGGGGGTCGAAGCGGGCGGGGGAGAGGAAGGGCCGGTCCCGGGCAAAGGCGGTCCTCCGTCGCGGGGTTGCAGAACATAAAAACGAAAAACGGTACCCCGCCCCAAGAGGCCCCAAAGAGCCCCCCAAGAGGCCCAAGGGGGCCCCAAGACGCCGCCAAGGAGCCACAAGAGACCCCCAAGAGGCCCCCAAGAGGCCCCTAGGAGGCCCCAAAGAGGCCCCCAAGAGGCCTCAAAGAGGCCCCGTAGAGCGCTCGAGGGCCGGCGGAATGAGCGAAGCGATTAAATAAAAACGAAAAACGGTATTGAATAAACTTTTCCGTAAAATCGGGTACGCCTGCCCCATGACGGCTGGGAAGCTTATACCCCGACGTGCCACCGTGGGGGTGAAGCTTTCCAGCCGCCCTGGGACGGGCGTCCCCGACGGCGAACAAGTTTACGTTATACCGCTCTTCGTCCGTCTATCCCTCTTTCTAGAGCAAAACAGAATGCAGCAATTAACCCTGTGGCTCGTGGCGCGTGGCCGCTCTCACGGGCCAACGACGCCAGCCGCACCACATTCCGCCGGCAGCCAGCACGGTGCAGCACGAACGATGGCACGAACTACACACACAAACCGTATGACAGGGCGGCGCGGCAGGGATGCAAGGGCCGTGGAGGGCCGCGTCAACGTTTCTCCGAACGAGGCTGGCCAGCCAAAGCTACCAGGGATGGGCCGAAGGGACCAGAATGCAGGGGTAGCCTTATGTTGCTCCCATGCTGGCGGCGCGCAGAGGGGGGTACAGTCAACGCGCATGATAAGGATGCGCGGCAAGGATGCAGTCCCCCTGGGACCCCTGAGTTGAAAGTGTTGAGCTAAGGGTTGCCTACGGATAGGCCGAACAGGCAAGTATGCAAGGGCACCTCTGGAAACGCCACTCCACCTTACCATGCGCGTTGACTGTAGGGGAAGGGGCGAGGCCTTCTCAGAAGGAGGCTGTTTCTGAAGAGGCGCCGATGGCCTCCACCTGCAGAGAAGGCCCCCACCTTCCGAGACGCAGGGGTGCTTCTAAGAAGCCTTTTCCCCCCTCCCCCTACTTAAAAAGGAAAACCAGAGTCGCACTGGAGTCGAGCAGATCCGCTCCGCGGGCCCCGGGAAGTTCCCCCGAGCGAGAACCGAACAGAGTGGAGGGGGGGGGAGGGCCGGCGGGAGGGGCCCCAGCGATGGATCTGCCCCTCGCGACCCTCCCCCCGACTCTCCGCGCCCACGTCCTCGAACGGGGGGGGCGCTGGGGCGGAAGGAGGAGAGGGGTGTATACAGACGAGCCGCTGAAATGAGGAACAAAGCCCCTTTTGCGGCCCCCAAAAAAGCGCCAGCGTGCACGAGGAGGGCCAGAGGAACGACCACGTAATGACCCAAGGAGCATCGAGCCCCTTTCGTACCCAAACTGTTCCTTATTTCGGCGTCTTGGCTGTAAAGGGGAGCGGACAAAAGGAGGGGAAGGCGAGGGGGAGGGCGAAAGAGGGAGGACGGAGGAGGAAACTACCCAGAAATCCGAAATGTTTTTTCCAATCCGGCGTCTGTCTTGGATTTCGGCCTCCCTGCCGGCGAGCCATCAACAAATAATCTGGTCGACAAAACATCCCGGGGGAAGGACTCGGGACCTCTGGGGCCGCGGATTGGAGAAACCGTAACGGCGGATGTCTGGGCAGAGAGAGGGAGAGAGAGAGAGAGAGAGAGAGAGCGAGAGAGCTCAGCAGGGGTAGAAGGAGAACCAGGGAAGAACGGAGGGAAGAACGGGGGAAGAGAGAGGAGGGAGAGTGAGCGAGTAGAAGGGATCCTCGAGGCCACCCCCCTGGCCAATCCTGTCCCGGGTAGTTCCTTCGGCAAACTGACTCCACGATTCTGACCGACATATCCCCAATGTGCTGCAAGCAATACAGCACGCGGGCAAGTAAGCGTGAGATGAGGCGTGCGCACTGTGGGCGAAGGTGAAGCCCTCCTCTGAATAAACGCAAGCACACACAAACAAAAACAACTGACACCCATGCTACCGCCCACCACACTCCCTTGTCCCACCATGATCATGATCCACCACCGTGCCTGCGAGGCACGATTTGGAGTGTCCTCAGGTCCTTGCTCAATCGGCATCTTGGGGCCTCTTCACGGCATGTTGGGGACCTCTTGAGGCCTCCTTGGGGCCAAGGGCTCGAAATGGCCGTTCGGATCCTCCGTCGGGGCCCTCTTGGAGCCGTCAACGTGGGCCGTTAGGGAGCTCTCTTGGGCCGTAGTGGGGCCCTCTTGGAGGCCTCTTGGGCCGCCTTAGGGCGATCTTGGAGGCCTCCTGGGCCGTCGTGGGGCGTCGGGAATTCGAGAAAGGCGAGGGCGCCACAATCCTTGAAACACCTGCGGGCAATCAATGTGTGTCTGCCTCTTGGGGTCCTCCTGGGAGGCCCCTTGGAGGCCCCTTCGGGCGTCTTGAGGGCATCTTGGACCGTCTTGAGGCCATCTTGAGCGTCTGGGAACGATCTGTTGGCGACTCGGGGGCAGTCCGCAATATTGAGGATCGTTTACGTGGCCAAGGCCCCAAATTCTCAGATCTCCCCGGGCTCCCGTCGCTCCCGCGCCGTCTACCCGCATGACGTGTTCGGGCCCGAAGAGGCGCGAATCAGCCACGCGCAGAGAGGGGTTGGGAGCGGGGGAAGGCTTCTTAGAAGCAGCCCTGCTCCTTAGAAGGCGCGGGCCTTCTCTCCAGATCTGAGGCCGGCGCCTTCTAAGAACCAGTCTCCTTCTAAAGAGCCCTCCCCCCTCCCCCCGCCGCCCCCCTGTGCGCGCCACCAAGTAAAGACGGGCCAGGAGGCTTCTGACCCACAACCGAGGGCGCGGTGGCGGGCTGTGCCGAAGGCCGCTAGATCCGCCGCCACCTGTGGTCTTACCACAAGGGCGCACGGCGTGCTGGACGTCTGGGAGGTGTTTGGTCCGAACTCTCCCTGAGGCTTCGGCCCAACCCGCCGGCCACCCAGCAAGCTGGCCCACAACCGGGAGGCAAGAATGTGACCGCACCAAGGTGGCTGCAGAATGGTCTCCAAGACGACCGAGATAGCCCACGATGGCCCTGACGTTCGCTCAAGATGGCCAAAAGAGAGTCCAAGTTGCCTGCAAGTCCGAACAAGAAGCCACCAAGATGGCCCAAGATGGCTCCAAGACGGACGAAGAGGTCCCCAAGACGGCCAAAGAGGCCTCCAAGAAGAGGACCTCGAGGAAGGCCCAAGTGGACCAAATCTCGAGGCCTCCCCCTCCTCCACCTCCTCCTTCTCCTCCTCTTCCCCCTCCTCTTCGAATCGGCCTCTCCGCCTCCTCCTTCTCCTCCTCCTCCTCGAAGCTACCTTACTATGTTCGAAAGGTCTTCACAATATTGTGGGGTGTTCTCATGTTCGGTTTCCAGACTGCCCAAGACGGCCTCAGAGGCAACCAAGATGACCTCAATAGCACCCAAAAGGGCTCCGAGATGGCCCCCTGACAGCCCGAGAGGCCCCCAAGATGGCCCCAAGACGGCCCCAAAACGGTCCAGTAGACATCCAAAACGCCAAAGATGGCCTCCAAGACGGCCCAGAAGCGCCCAGAGGCCCCAAGTCGGCCCAGGGAAGCACCCAAGGCGGCTTCCGACGGCTTCAGACGGGCCAAGAAAGCTCTCAGACGGCCAAAGATCCTCCCCCAAAAACCTCCAAAGTCCCGCAAGAGGCCCAAAGAGGTCTCCGGGAGACCTCAAACAAGCCCCCAGGAGGCTCCTAGGAGGCTCTGAGAGCGCCCCAGCTCCAAAGAGTCCTCCTCCTCCTCCTCCTCCGTTTTCCTCCCTCTTCCTCTTCCTCTTCATCCCCCGAGTGTTCCCCGACGGGTTCCCACAACGGCTGGGGGGGTACACAGTCCGATCGCGTGGCTGAACGCTGGCCGCAGTGTTCGGCCGTGTGGGCGTTTCAGGACGGGCAGGGGCGGCGGTGGTTCGCCGTAGGCGTCTTCGATTGTTTACGTACGTACCCCCCGTGTGCGGCGCCGTGGTCACCACCGTGACCGCCGCCATGCCCTCCGTCGTGTCCACCGCCGTGGCCGTCTCCGTGACCGTCGCCGTGCCCGCCGCCTGGCAGAGCGGGACTGCTGCCCGCGTGCGGCTGTCAGGCTTAGGTCGGGCATGTCCCCCTGCAGGCGGATTTCGGGTGGGAAACGAGAATGACAAAACGTGCTCAAGCGTAGGGACAAGGAGGAGGAAGAGGAGGAGGAGGAGGAGGAGGAGGAGGAGGAGGAGGAGGAAGAGGAGGAGGAGGAGGAGGAGGAGGAGGAGGAGGAGGATACTCCTCCTGTAGGGGGACCCGCCCGAAATGCTGCGGGGCCCAGCGGGGCTCCCGTGGACGAGAGCGCCGCGGCGGGGGGGAGAGCAGGGGCGCAAGACCCGCGCCCAAGCGGCTGGCGCCGCTGCTCCGACCCCGCGCTGCTAAAGGGGCCCTGGGACACACAAAAAAATACACACAAATAAAAATATTCCCCATATTTTCCCATGTTTTCTGGGTTTTTGTCTTCCCCACCACTTCCCATATTTTCGCATATTTTCCTGGGAATCGACGATTAATTGTGTCTGTGTGTTTCTTCCCCTCCTGAGCTGCGCGGACCGGGCCCGAGGGCGTGGCCCCGCGGGGGGGGGGGGTCCGACGGCCAGGAGAGGAGCGCCGGGAGTGGCGCAGTCATGCGGGCATTGGCCTGGCCTCAGGAGCGAGGAGTGAGGAGCGAGACCCCCTTGTTTTGTTCAGGGAACAACGCATGAGGAGCGATAAAGAGTGCGTAACGCATGCGGAGCGATAACTCACGCATGCAAGCCGAAGGAACGACCGAGCCCCTTTCGAAAAGTAAGTGTTCCTCATTCAAGCCGCTCACTGTAGCGTCGGAGAGTTGGGCCCTCTCTTGGCGGCGAGCGAGGGGGGGAAGTGAGAAGGAGATGGCCTTCTCAGAAGGCGGCGGGACTGCTCAGAAACCCTCGCGCCTTCGGAGAGGAGATCTGAGTTTTCTCGGGGAAAGCTTTGAAAACATCTGAATGCCAGGGGACTTCCGAGCCTTCTCAGAGGGCCCGCCCCTTCTAATTTCCCCCCCGGGCGTGCCGCCGAGCCTGGAACAGTCATAGCTTCGGAGAGTTGGGCCCCCTCCCCATGTAAGCCGACAAGAATGAAAGAAATGGATCTGTCTGTGAACGGCGAAAAGAGGGTTACAGTCAACCCGGGTAGGAAGGATGCGCGGCAAGGATGCAAGGGCCTTGGAGGGCCATGTCGACACTTTACGGTCAAGGCGTGGCCAGCGAAAGTGGCCAAGGTTGGGTCGATTGAGGAGGATGCAAGGGCAGTCTTGGAACATGGTTCATCCTTGCAGATTGACTGCAACAACAACGAGCAGCAGGCGCGTTACCTGGCCAGGCTGCGCATGGCTGCGGAACGTGCAAGCAGGGGTGGGGTGAGAAAGGCATGGCAGGAGGGCACTGGACAGACCAGGTACCATTCGAGCCCATCCCCCTCCAGAACGAGGAGGCTCGAGCGAGGGGTGCTGCGAGAACGGCGCCCATGAACGGTGCCATGTCTGAACTCCGCTCAGGCCCCGCTCCAACGCAGTACGGTGCATGGCTTCCTTCGGCTCCGGGAGCCGACAAAAATCATCCTGGCGAAGGGCCAACTATATGCAGCTGTGGGTGCCGCAATTGTGAATATCTTTTTCGGTTAAGCTCCCTATGGGGCCACGGAGCGCTGCACTGGGTGGGGGGGAACGCATGCGGGCGGCTCCCTAGGGGGCCACAAAACGCTGTACTGGGTGGGTGAAAATGCCAAATTGGATTTCCGGGACGCATGCGGGCGGTCCCACTGGGGGCTTTGGTGGAGCTCCCTATGGCGCCACGAAGCGCTGCACTGGGTGTGTGAAAATGCCAAACTGGATTTTTGGGACACATGCGGACGGTCCCACTGGGGGCTTCGGTGGAGCTCTCTATGGAGCTACGAAGCGCTGTACTGGCTGGGTGAAAACGCCAAATTGGGTGTGCGGGACGCATGCGGACGGTGGCACTGGGGCCTCTGGTGGAACTTCCATAGTGGGGCCACGAAACGCTGCACTGTGAGTGCTGTCGCATGCGGACGGTAGCACTGGGACCTCCGGTGGGGCTCCCTATGGGGCCACGAAGCGCTGTGGACGCATGCGGACGGTAGCACTGGGAACTTCCGTGGGGCCCCCCTATGGGGCCACGGAACGCCGTACGGGGTGTGTGGGGCGCATGCGGACGGCAGCACTGGGACCTTCGGCTGGGCTCCCCATGGGCCACGAAACGCTGTACTGGGTCGGCGGGACGCACGCGGACGGTAACGCTGGGACCTTCAATGGGGCTTCCCATGAGGCCACGAAGCGCTGTACTGGGTGTGTGGGACGCATGCGGACGGTAGCACTGGGACCTTCGGTGGGGTTCCCCTATGGGCCACGAAACGTTGTAGTGGGTCTGCGGGACGCATGCGGGCGGTAGAAAGAGGGGGAGGAAGAGACGGAGGAGAACGCGGAGCGCTGTCTCATCAAAACGAGGACCCAACAACACAGGACGGTTGGGAAGAAGTAGCTTGGCGAAGGACCCAACCATATGCAGTTGTGAATGCCGCAATTGTGTTGGGTGGTGGCGGACGCATGCGGGCGGTCCCACTGGCAGCCTGGGCCACCAAGGGGTCGAACATCATTTCGAGGATCCGCGTAATATGATGTTACCTTCCTGGGCCTGAAGATGGTGATGATGATGATGCTGGCGCTGATGAGATTGGTGATTACGATGACGATGATCATGATGATGGTGATGGTGCTGATGCCTTGTCCTCGTCTCCATCGCCATCGTCTCCCTTCCCCTCGTTCTCACCATCGCCCTCGTCCTCTCTGGCTTTTTACCATTATCCTTATACTCCCCCTCCTTTCCCCCCCTCCCTCAACCTGCATGATCCAATATATCCTCCTCATGCTCCTCCTCCTCATACTCCCCCTTTTCCTCGGATGCACACCCGTATTACCCAACCCTCTCCCAACTTGCATAATCCAACCTGCCTCCGCCTTAAGCACAAAATCGTAGAGGACCACCGAAAAAAAGTAAATAAGATCACCGCCTCAAAGGTAACCAGGACCACTTCAAAAGTCAACAGGACCACATAACAAAACAAAGCAACAACAACAAAACGAAATACACGAACATTCACCACCTTTAACAAGATCAATGATAAGATCAAACAACATGGCCCCAATGGAAAAAAAAAAAACATTACCAACAACACTGCCAAACATAAGCAAACGGAGCCCGAACAACATCACCAAACGCGGTGCGAAACATATGATCCAACGCATGGCCATCCCAAATGTAGGGCCACAGCCAAGCTAAACAGAACCATCCAAAAAAAGTAAACAGGACCACCCAAAGCATGTAAACAAGACCACCCCAGAAGTAAACAGGACAATCCCAAAAATAAACAGGACCACCCAAAAAATGAGCATAACCACGCCAAGAGAAAAACATAACCACTCCTCCTAAAAGCAAACGGGACCCGGACCAACCAAACAACAAAAACATGAGCACCCCAAAAGCAAGCAGGACGACCTCAAAGAGTAAGGATGACCACGTCAATAGCAAACAGGACCACCCAACTAAACAGGACCACCCCAGAAGTAAACAGGGCCAGCCCAAAAGTAAACAGGACCACCCAAACAGTCAGCAGGACCACCCCAAAAGTAAACAGGACTACCCAAAAAGTGAAGAAGACCACGCATCAAGTAAACAAGACCACCCCAAAAGTAAACAGGACCGCCCCAAAAGTAAACAGGACCACCCCAACAGTAAACAGGACCACCGCGAAAGCAAACAGCCATGTCAATGTCAAAAGCCTTGCGCCAGACGGCGCGCTAGCAGAGATGGGCAAAATGCACTACATGCACCAAGATCGCACGGCCGACGCCCAAGCTTGCGCTGCACCGCCCTCCAGGCGGAAGTAATCAGCAAGGCGAGCGGCGGCGCCGGCCACACGCAGACAATTGTTCATCACCACGTTGCCCCTCTTCTGTCGGGGCTGGCCTCTCTTCCGAGGTCCTGATGGCGATCGTGCGTCAACGCTGTCAGGTTCAAACGCAGACATGCGCACCGCCGGGTCTGCACTGGGGCGTCTCGCAAGCTTGCCCATGAGGGGCAGCTGATGTTTACAGATTTGCTCGCTCAAAGGCCGCTGCTCTGCTATGCTTAAAACAATGTCATTTGAAATTCTACTGTGACGTGAATGTGGCACGCGGAAGACCCCCTTTAGACACTGGGCTTGAAAACCGACAATTCTCCGGCGCTCGGCCTGTTTCAAGTATGCAGTGGAAAGAGAATGTGTCAATTTAACAACTACGCATGCGTTAAAAAAATACGCACTTTATGGCGGCGGGACAATGCAGCATGCGACCAGATTGCGCTCAGCACGTTGAAGTCTTGCCTGGCCGCACCGAGCCCACGCTTAAGCTCTGCGCCGCTCCGGCCAACTGCGGACAGCAACGCGCCTAAGTATACTAAGATGCTGGTTCCCTCACCGCCTCGCCTGCGCCATTGACAAGATGAGCTCCCGTGCGAGCGCGCATCGCTTCCACCTTGCGCCAATTCAGGCCCCATTCATAGCGCCGCCCGCACTCCTCCATGCAGAACAACAGATCTTGGATGATGTCCGGATTGGCGTCCAGCAGGGGAGCGTCGTCAGCGTGCACCAACTCCCTGACAAAATGCGGCTATGGAACACTAGGCACGCGCACCTGGAACATGGAATGGGCGTCTGTCAACAACGTTGTCATTACGGTTGTGAACGGAAGTGGTGATAGTGGACATCCCTGACATATCCAAAATTGCTGGTTCCGCTCCGCCGACAAGGTGCCTGAGTCTGAGACGACGAAAGACCGATCATGATACATCGAGTCGACCATGTCAACAAATTTCGAGGGGCACCCAAACCTCCGCAGTGAAGTTGCCAGAGCGCTCGGCGATACTGAATCAAAGGCCTTTGCCCAATCCAAAGCGAGTGGCAATGGCGAGCCTTGCTTGGTCGCCCAAGCGTCCTCGAGGATTCGTCT